GTCATCCGATGGGGCCTTCAAAATTATACCATATTGCTCATCTGAGATTTGATGTATGACTAGTGGGTGGATCCTCTTATTACACTTCTTGGGAGATCTCAATCCTATTCCGCCCTGATGCTGCATGTAGCCGCAAGTACATAGATTGTCGCCTTATTACACTTCTTGGGAGATCTCAATCCTATTCCGCCCTGATGCTGCATGTAGCCGCAAGTACATAGATTTTTTGTCGCCTTACCCCTCTAATGAAAGACTCCGTAGTAGACGCACTTTTAATAAACTTTGCGGAAAGCGAAGTTACCGATCTAGCTGGATTCCAGCCTTCAGAACGTTGGTCTCAGGTCGATGTTGAAAATGATGATTGTGCTTTGGTTCTTCCTGACAGTCCGGTTACACTCACATACGTTGATGATGATGAAATTATGTTGCTGCACAAACGGGTGTTCCAAGAATCGTCAGCTATCTAATCAAATGAAATCCTCGTTTCTTAAACATATGCCGACTAGTCCTGTTTCAAACGAGTGTTCCAAGAATCGTCAGCTTTCTAATCAAATGAAATCCTCGTTTCTTAAGCATATGCCGACTAGTCCTGTTTGCCGAAATATATACTCCAACGTCTGAGCCTGCTGAAGTTGCTGATTTCGCCGGATCGGCTATCTTCCCGGATATTAAAGGTCATTGTGCTTCAATCCACAAGTCTAGGCGTCCAACACAGCTCCAGTCTAAGTGCGAGTTAATCACACTGCTGATCAGCCACTCGTGGTCGAACGGTTAAGTGTTCAAACTACTAGCGGGTTCGAGACTCTTTGGAGTTTCGTGAGATGCGTACTGCGGATAATTCCCAATAAGTATGAAACATCTGTACAGTGCTTCTCGGCTTTCCAGTATAGATTGGATTTACTTACAGGAGGAAATCCCCACACAGTTCCAACCATTTGAGATAAAAGTTGTATTGTCTGTTTAGTGTCAGATCTGGTGATCAAGCTGTTATGACAACTACTGCAGAATCGAAACGCACCACCAGCTGGGGACGTTCTGGATTCCAAAACTGACGCACTTTAGGGTACAGAAGCGCGACACAAATCAATGGGAAAACTAACTAATAATGTGAGGGAAACACGATCATCTGCTGCTGTCGAAGCATGACCAAATACAGCGCACGTAATTACTGACTGCTCTGTGGATGAGCCAGCAACTCGAGAAAAGAACGAAGTGAAACGCGTCTGAAATAAAACACCATGGTTAGCAACAACAGTCTGGGGGAATGCTTCGGGTCAATAATTAACTATGTGTAGCTTTTTCTCTCTGGTACATAGTCTAAGGAAGCGGTACCAAGTTTTCAACATTAGCTTCGTGGCTCTAAGGACGGTGTGAATTTTATCTTTAAGGCAGCAGTGCATTAATTTCTTGCTCTGAGATCAACTACCCGCGCCTTACCTTTAGGTCAGTTATCACACGAGAAACTGATAGAAACCGGTCGGCATGGCTACATAATAGGGCTTCGAACTAGGGCCTGGTGACTGCTGTGGTCATCGATTGATTGAACAAAAAATAATCCTCCAGCAGCGAAAAACTTACTCCCGTTTTTCTGTAGGACGTGGTTCCATTAAGATAACTGGTCAAGATCGAATTGGGGAGTTTCTTCTCCGAATCATTTTCCCCTTGTGTAGTCATTGAACATGGTGAACTGTTGCGGAACCCTCCTGCACTGCGCTCCCATCTTCTCGCTTTGTTTTCGACCCCAAACTTGTTATGGTAGCGAGCAGCGGTGATTCGTACCATTGGTGCTCGTCCTCGCTTGGCCGTTCGATAAGCAGTCTGCAAATGGTACTCAGCCAGTTCAAGTGGGCTTTTGGCATTAACCTGTGGGTCTGTTGACAGTGTGGGTTTTGATAACGGTTCCCCGTTGATTTCCAGCAGAATCATGCCCACCGATAGACCACCTTCAATGCTTGCTGGGGTGTTGGGCACGAGATCGGCTATGGTGACAACTTCGGGACCTTCTTCATTGGGTTTATAATCAAGTGGTTTGAAGACACCACCCTCCCGGGGGTAAATGGCTGGCTTTGGACCCTTGGGACCACCAGCGAGGCTTAAATTCTGACCAGAGTTCACAAACGAGTTGGAGTAGTGTTCTATTTCGTTGTTCTTGAGTTGTTGAAGGTTGTTTGCACGTTGTATATCATCCATGGGGAATTTCGTCAGAAAAAGACTGAGGCCTAATTGTTTGTGAGTGCTTGGAATGTTAGGGTCGAGAACAACGCGAGTTACTTTACAATGATGTAACACATCAAACAATGACGGAAATGGAGCTGCCAGATTGGGAAATTCACGTTCATTTCTATTTGTTCTACCTTTGTCTTCCATCAAGTTTGATTGATTGTCCTCTTCCTTGGGATCCGGGACTCCCATAGCTACTTTTTGATTGGTGACTGCTCTTATTGTTGGCTTCATTGCTGAGGACAATGTAGGTACAGTTTGAGCAGGTTCGTCGTGTATGTCTATAGTTGTTGGTAGCGCGATCTTTAAATGCGTAGCGTTTAGTGATTGGCCCATTGTCGGCAGTTTTGCGGTCAGGGTAAACTTATTCTCTGACGTAACAGCAGTCACGTCCAAAGATCGATGATACTCATTTTCAGATGTGGTGTACGTTGGGTCGTCTTCTTGGTTTGTCAGTCTGGATGGCGACGTCGACTTGATGTTTTTAGCCCCACCTAAACAGCAATATCCAGAGAATATCATGTATATGTTACCCGGCTGTTTTTCAGACAGAAAATATATGTTTACAATTTGAAACATCAAACACAATGGTACCCTGTGCGGAGAGAAGATATTCTCCGGAATTTGGTCGAGTTGCTCCCTATTCTATGTAACACTGTCCTTTGCCCTCATTGCCTTGATCGCTTGTTTTTGATATCCAAAGTCTGGTCACTTGAATTTGTTCCAAAGCATGAATGGACCAGAATGATGACCCGGTGAAGACACGCATGGATTGCCTTCAATGTGTCCCCGAGCAGAAGTCTCAATAAAGCTCTGTCCCGCTAATTGCGTGGTGCTATGATAGACGTGGTCCTCTTGGCATATTTCGCAAGTCATACTGACACCCTCTGCTGTTTAACAACCCTGCAGGATTTTCCGGCAATAATGAACGCGGCTACCGCGATTTTAACTCGCAATTATCGAAAAAAAATTACTTACAGGAGTGGCACCTCACTCTTGTAATTTCTCCCACGGTCCCGAAAGGCATTCTTCACCAATAAGCAGATTTGGCACGGGCAAGGACATTCAGTATTGCTAAGATGCAGTAGAGGCGAAACTTCAGTTTTTCCTTTTTTGTTATGAACTCACCGCGAGAGAACTACTCGGACAAGAGTCGTAAGGATACAGGCTACGAGATCTAATATTTTTCTGTAATAAGTTGACTTCTTGTGGTTTGCTGTGATTGACAACGGATATAGGGCCACAGCAAAAACATCGCTCACTGTTGTGGCAGTGTGGCACAGAATCTATATTTACTACCGTCATACAATCTTTCGGCATGCGCCTTGCAGTTTCCGAGTGCAAAGTCGTGCTTCAGAACCTACAGTCTCTGAACATACACCTTACAATGCGAGGAGGATTACTGGAGTGTGTGGATAATTTTACACGCCTTGGCAATATATCTGATGAAGTCAGTGCAAGAGCCTCAAAGTCCCGGATAGCATTTCCTAATTTGCGTCACTTGTGGCGTGAAAAAAAATATTATTTAGTTCGAAGCGGCGAATGTACCAGGCTACAGTAAGTCTTGTTTTATGTCTACGGGACGTGGCTTCCATATACAGAAGCTTGAAACATAATTAGATGAGCTTTATGGTTGTACGGCAGTGAAGCATCGGTCTCAACACTGATGTTGCTCTCTCCCATGACAATGGTGACTGTCCTATATGGACGACAGAACGTCACAACAAGCGCCCAATAATTCATAAAGTTGAAGCATGACATCATGATTGAAGGTGGTGGGGATACACACACACACGATATTGTGAGGCAGTAACCATAGGGAAATGCAGCTAGTACAGTGTACACACCATCAGTTCACTTTGTTCATACATCCCATTTACTGTGCACAAGGTCATCGAGTATCCTACGTTTGGACGCAAAAGGGACCACTGTAATTCTAGAAGAAGCTAGATACTGGGCAGCCGGTTCTGCTCAGGACAAACCGGATACATGTTCCCAAAGACGTATTCCGTTACTGCGGCTCCTCAGTGTTGCCGTATCAGTCGTCAAAATAGGTATCCGTTCGCACCAGTAATAAACCCCTTTAACTCCAACTAAATAGGGCGGTTGATAGCGCGTTCTGTAATAAAGGGGAACTAAAAGCCTTGCGCGAGATTGAACAGTTGTCTCACAGTGCATCCGTTAGTCTCCTACAATGTCTAGTGCTTTGTGAAAATTTTGTATGTGTCCGAGTAACAACCTGGGGTTAGACTATGTCAAGAAATTGAAATTTGCAGGCAGACCATTCGTCGCTGCTCGTGCTGACGTTTTTCATACCTAGTTTGCTACCAGACTACCACTTTACCGAAGGTGACCTATCACTCTGAGGGTTACTGTCAGTCTTTTGCAAGCTGACCGAAAAGCCACGGCACATCTGCTGAAGAGGGACACGATAGGGTGTCCACGGCATATACCATATGGGCCAGCGTAACATGCCTTCAGGACTGTTGTGAACCCGAAACACCTCATCAGACAAATCTACGCGAGAGTATTTGCGGAAGCAGTGAATTCGCAACACTCTGATAGACCGGCAAAAGGTAAGTAATGAGATAAGAAACAGGTCAAATTGTTGCGGCTCAGCCTGTCAGCTGTGAGCTGGCTACGCTTGGTTAAAGAATTGATGCATATCTTCTTACGCGTCTCCGTACCAGATCAGCTGTCTTCCGATTCACTGGGAATCGCGGGTGCAGCAACCCATGAGTACAGACATATTTAGTACCACAAGTTAGTTTTACGTGACCCCATTTACGCGCTGGTTGATGGAAGATGGTAATTGCTGGTGCACCGCGACATGTAAACAAACACTATTTCATCCTTACAGTGTCTTAATTTCTTAAGATGCTTACTGGCATGCACACACTACTGATAGGGTTGCTGAATACTCTTCATTAGTCCACTATCAGTTTCATCCAACTTGAAGCCACTCAGATAGACGTAGTCCATGAGTATCCATCAGCTTATGTTCTACCTGAGCCCAAATTGGAGGCCACTCGGGGAGCACGCACATGTGAAGATCACATTGGTGTTAATGGGAGGCTCAACTAAGCATCCCACGTTCACATTATTGCCCAATGGTTGGTAGCATTACTCGGGTTACTGAGCGGACTCGGACACGTGGGAAGTAACCAATTAGTTTGAGGAACGGTAACTGACAGAAAGCTGCGAGAATGGCCGACAATACTGTGTTAAACACTCACCGCAAGTAACTGACGAAAAGCTCTCAAATGGAAACAAAAGCCTAAAAGGTTGTTGATTAACTCACCAACGGATCTCGGGAAATGATGAATTCCGTTTTCCCCTTTTCGACAGGGTACATTTGGCGTTGGTGCCTCCATGTCCGCAGTGGGCTGTTGCGTTACCGTAGTTACGGGCGGTGTCATTTTTCTCAGGGTTCCGGTTCGTGAAGGACAAGCTTTTTGCTGGAGAAGAAGTGAGACAAACTGAGGAACATCTCTAATAAACCAACTTCACAATGGGCCCAAAAAACGGATGATATTTTGTGTGACAGTCCATTTTGTTCACTTCATATTCTTTTTTTGCAGTCGGCTTTATGTACTTGCTAAAGCCAATTCCAGAATGCTGTGTGTGATACTCGCCATTCATGGTGAGTAAACTATCGAGCCTAACCCACCTTTACCAAATCAAACTGCCTTTTCCGGCGACTGTTTCTCACTCCGAGTATTTTTATCCTCACAAAGTTCCATCTTCTCTTATTAACGTTTAAAACAACTCGGAGACGAATATGTCATTCCAAGTCCTGTTTGCACACATGTCCTCTGTGCTATCGTGCTAAAGACAGTCTGAAAATTAATGAACATACGTTCCTATTGCCACAGTGCCGTATAATTTTGGCATGCCTAGTCTGGTACAAACTATGTGCGTGTCATTGTCACTTTTTCGTTCAGTCCACGATATCCAGGAAGGGATAAGCTCAAGTCCCCTCTGGAAAGATCAGCACTGTAATAGAATATTTATGCGAGACAACTTATCAGTTACCTGAAGCACTTTTTAGTTCTAAAGTCATCAGGGGTGACGTCAGTTCTGCTAGGTTTATTCAGCTTGAGTTTCCAAAAGAACGTAACCAGATCTGGATACATCACCTGGGACAAACCGACTTCAACACCTAGCTAATTCTTATTTGGTTTGCAATGGTGAAACTGTTTTAGTTAGCTGTGGATCGTTCGCATACTGAAATCATCCATTCCTGGTAAGATCACCTCAAACTACCAATGACATGTTTTCGTCTGGAAAGAACTTTTTTCAGTGGTATGCAACTCCACAGATTAGCTTCAGTAGATCTGTTGTTATAATGCATCTCCAGTGGGGTTCGACTCTATCTCGCTTTTTTTCTAAAACAACCCACCCTTGAAAATAGCCATGGTGAGCAATCGCTGAACGTCCGGTAGAGGACCTTGACCAAACTGGCTGGCCATCTGGAGGATATTTTGATCCTCACACAGCTGGCGATCACCCATATTTTACAGTTTTGGTCTGCTGAGCAAAAGCACACATGAGAAATCGGTGCATGAGCACCACAGCCTGATACCTCTTGGAGTGAGAATTTGCTTCTCCGTGACAATTTCGATTGTTTGGATTAATGATCGTAAGGATTCGAATTTAAAGCTAACCTGATTGAACCATAGCAAAATGACTTTAGTTGGGAAGGTAGTCTCTATTTGCGTTGAGCAACCGTAACACACTTACAGCCGAGCATAAGTCCTAAGACATACTGTTCGATGAGTAAGTGGTCAAAGCATCTATAGTAGGAAGGGTCTTACAAGTATCTTTTTTGACGGAGGCAGTCTAATAGCAGCACACAGCGGAGCGACCAATGGAGACAATTCAATGCAAACAAGCACTTCTGGCACCATTCAAAAGCGCTGCTTAAATTTGAGACGAGGGCCATCCCCATGGAACGAAAGGTTTTGCCATGCAGCATTAATACCTCGTGCTGACCGTGTCCGTGGCTCGAATCAAGTACCAAATGGAAGGTTATATCTTGGTAGGCACACAAAACGAACCTCTGCAACTTACCTGCAGTAAATATGACACGCCTTGAAAGGTATGTGGTGAGTATAAATTTGGTCTAACAGGTTGTGTTGCCTTCGTTGGTGTACCCACAGGTCTGTCCTGTTCGAGTTGCTCCGCGTTGCGGAGCTGGTCCTACGAACAGCAGTGAGGCAGAAAGCGGATATGTTTATTAGTCTTGACTCGAAACGAATCAAGTATGCGAGTGCTGACTAACTTTTATGTGTTATTGAAATTTGCGTCGAGCCAGGGTATTAGGACAAATTAAAACACTGGGCCTAGCTGGAGAAGGTGAGTAAATCTGATTACTTCATTTCATCACTTCCAAGCAACACTTCCAATCCCGCTTGCAATGGTACAAAGGCCCGTGTGTTCTTGTGTAATATACACAGTTCTCTCATCCCGAAGGTCACGAATCCTCGGAACTGGCTGACAGCTAGAATATAGAATTGCTACTCTAAACTGCGCTCACATATTACCTCAATGACATTGACGCCAACTTTTACTTCAAAATCAACGGTTTCTGAGTGAATACCTTGTAATTCACCCTTAGGTGAGCAGCTAGATTGACTGATTTGATCATAAACAAACCTTATGGGCCAGAGCGATCCATTCATGGGTGGGGGCATCGCATCCCTCGAGTTACCTATGTGAGGCAAACTGAAGTGAATCTATTTCTTGGCTGGGGACCTCACAGAAAACTGAATGAAAAGAAATGTGAAAAAGGACCTAAAATAGACATAGAAGATGAATTTGAGTATTTAACGTCATGTAATGATTCTTGAAGTTTCTGTTGTAGGTTATGAACCTCAAGTGGTAAATTCGGGGTGCGTCTCGAGAACACTTGAGAGACAACAGGTTGATCACCACTACGTTTTTTAATCACTTAGTGAAAAATACATCTTGGAGCTGGAAAGACGCGTTTTAAACGCCAAGCCGTGTGGACGAATTCCCGGTGCTTATCAAATGAAGAACAGGAAGACTCTTTAGGTGGATAAAGGACGTCTCACCAAGGTATGGACATGGCACTTCCGCTGCGTTCATACACGCTCAGCCCAGCCAGTTGGACACATCCAACTGAGGAGCCAAAATCCTGTTTTATCTACCCATGAATTTTGATTTGGAAGTATATCCCGGCTGTGAATTCACTTAACTTTGAAAGCCTGAAGGGCATGGTGTGGCTTGTTGTTTGTAACCATCGTACAATACATATCGCACAAATCACAGCTTTTTCCCTAGTGACGGAACACTATGCTCTTTTGCAGTGCTTTAGATTTCTATTCCCACTGCTGCTCAAACACTCGTCAGACATAAAATAGCAGTGTAGAGCTCCAGGAACTTTTGGCGTAGATTAAATTTACATACAGGATGAAAGCTCATATAAAGCATGTGAATCATGTGAAGCATGTGAACCATGGTCCAAGAGTGCATTCACTGAGCTATTTAAAACATGAAACTATTGAAGACTTTTCACCAAGACTGAAGAAGCACTCCATTGAACGCCTTGAGGTTCTCTACCATACAGAAGAGTTCTATGGTTGTAACCATCTGTATTCTTCGCAGAACCCTGACAAGTTTTCAACGCGATTAACACACCGCTGAAGCAACCAACACAGTGAAAATTGGCTGTCGAATGGTTTGCCCGTCCGTGGGTACACAGGCAACAGAATTTCATGATTTTAGGAAGAATGAGTATAAAAGTGTCAATACGATTTGCTCACCCATTGGACTGTTCGTTTTTTTGCTCACCAGCAATAAATATTCCGGGGGTAAAAAAATGCTCCTTCAAGGACCACGGTTCCTTTCCGGGGGCCGCATTAAACTTTGAACATTGGTTTCACGGGATGTGACTAGTTGCGAATTGGACAATATGACAAAAGAGACAATGGACTAGGCTAGGACTTACTGTTAAGTGTTTTAGCGGTGAAGCGCACCGAATAGAAAATGGGCGTGCGGCCGCCTTATCAAAATTAGAACTATCTTATTCGTCGTATGAAACTTAAATGAACAGGTTACTTTATATTTTCCGAGTGTAGAATTAAGAAAATTGATGTTAAGAAACAAACCGATCGTGGGCAATTTAACACTCCACCACGGTTTAGTAACTTTTCCGTCACCTAAGTGCTGCTCAGCACAGTGACATGACCTTAGTGTACGAAACGCTCAGGAGAATGTTTAATTGATCTTTCAACTTACGGGGATCGTATCTGAGCCTGTTTGCGCCGGCCTTGCCAAAGGTTTTGAAATTGCATTTTGCTTGGTTGTTTTCCCTCGGGACATGTCTATCATTGTAATGGGAGAACTTCGCTTATTCCTGGTCTGTGGTGCAAACAAAAGCTTTGCAGAACTGAGTCCTGAAGATTGATTTCTTGTTGATGTGCTTACGGGGGAGTGGTTGTTCTGAATCGGTTGTAGAGTAGGATGCTGCGAATGATGTCGCACGTCGTTCGATAAACTTTCATTGAATAACAGAGGATTTCCGATTGTTTTGTATCGAAGTATGTGTTTTCTTGCCCAGACTTTCTCTAGCTCACTCATACATTGCTCTGAAGGCGTTGAGCTGGCACACACTTGTGACTGCTTAGGAATCTGGAACGTCGATGGGGACATATTTGGATCTCGTCCCTGTAGGTTCGCTGCCTGTCGGATTGAAACTTCACTGCAGGACTCGACGAGGTGAGCTGAAGGAGGTTGCCTGTTAGTTCTATTCAGTGTGGCACAGTCAATGTTTTCTTGGCTAACCGGCTGGTTGTTTATGGTTGATTCGGTAGGGTTCAAAGTGCCCGACTCGTCGTCTTGGTACTTGTAGGCCCATGGCAACGTTGTCTGGCGTGATTTTAAATCACGCGTTGTGGATGAAATACGGTAAGTTTGTAGCGGAGGGGTTGGGAATTGTCTTCCGGGTATTGATGTGTTGAAAACTCCAGACGGAGCTAAAGACCAGTTGGAGCTGCTGTGATGCATATCCTGAGGTGCAGCTCCTAATCCGGTAGGTGTTGATCCACTGAATACGTGTCTGTCTAGTGGTCGATAATATGGGTTCACCCAATTCCGATCTTTTTCTCCTGTGGATTCCTTCACTCCCAAATCGTAGTGCACACGGTGAGGACTTTTTGACAGTGGTAAGTGGGCAGGGGACGGTGATGATTGTCGAAGTGAGCTTTGAGGGAGCTGGGTGGGTGTGGTGGTGCTCGTTCTGGGTAGATCTAACGTTTTACTACGGCGGAAGCTTCTGAACAGTCGGGGAATAACATTAAGTGGATTGTTGCCTTCTTCATCATTTTCCTTTGGCTGGGAGGGGATCCGAAAGAAAGGGAATCATGCCACCATAAATACTGATAAATTTGATCGACAAAAAGCGGACAAACTGCTACCGGTTTCCTCCTTTTTTGAGCCCACCAGGTAGGCACGTTTCCATACATTTTCGTTAATCCCATTTATAAATTGGACAAGACTTGTACTAGGTTAAGTTGGGCACCATTCTTCAGTTGGAATATCATAAACAGAAGTGTAATTTGGATTCCAGCTTAGTCAGCCCCAAATACCACCTCGAATTACGTTTCATCTATCAGGCTTTTGGTTTGCTCAAAATGAGCTGTAATCATTTCAGACTGGAACTACCTGGTCGCATGTCCTCCGAACACGTGACAGCTAAAAATCAGCCGCACTACAGATGTGAACGAACTGATGTTAGCTATCAAAAGTGCCCAACTAGAGTAGCCAGAACAATTCAGGGACCGCACAGAAAATAACACTTGGTTCTGTACAGGAGAGCTGTAAGGTCTGCGAAAGATCTTTCTTATGAAGTCCTAATAAAAGTGTGTCAGGTTAATATAGGGCAATCTTAAACTCAGCTTTCTGATTGAAAATATTAAACCGTTGGTCAGGGGACCACGACCAGTTGGACATGAACCTGGTCTGCTACCAGCTTATTTTCTCGAACAACGTGGCTACTTATGAGTAGTAAGTTTATCTAACCTATCACCAAACTTGCGGTGGATCTTACTGCATCTATCCGGGTTGAAAATGGAGTGTGCAGTTTGATTCATCTAACGGCACATGGAAAAATGTTGTTAGTTTAAGACAGGGGAGATTGCATGGAAACCCGGATATATACGACCTCTAAGTATGGGTTAGGCAGACCACATTTTGAACCAAGAACCACACGGTGTCTGGTGCCGCAGATTTTTACTGTATTAATCTCACTAAGCACAGTCGAATAGGATTTCATTTCTTACATCTATGTTCAAACCTTGCCGATCGCTAATACTTGTCGTGCGTTTTGTTTCCCATGAGTAGATCGCTTAGATATGTAGATGATGGCTGAACGGAGCTTCAGTTGGCTGTTGGACAGATTATGAAATTAGGAGGCCTGATACATCCGTATTAGGTTCTGTAGCATAGGTAAAATAATTTATTCAGGGAGCAGAAAAGTGTCTTGATAGGGATCATAAAAGTTGTAGAGTTACTGGCCTTCCGCTAAGTACGGCTACATTGTTGCTTGTTTGATCATTCTGATAGCAGATGAAGAGATTTCACAAACTTTATGAGTGGTTTCCTTCAACAGATCAGTAAACTACCTCGCTTGCTTCCAGCAATGCACAGGAAACGCTTGTCCTCTGCGAGCCGCACGCGTTAGTTTTTAGTGATGGAACTACCACCTTTTAGTATTAAACAGATAACTTTTTCCCTCCTTACAAGATATTACTGAAATGAAATGACTCAGGCCTCTTTGCGTGCTTTTTACATCACTGGCGGGGCAATCATATTATTGTCTCGCAAATTGAAGATGTCATCACAGAAGATATAATGTATCCAAAACAATTTTTTCTAGCGCAAACTTGCTAAATCAACAAGGTGAACGATGGGCCGAGTTTCCCGGCAAAGTTTCCTAAGACGCCTGTTGTTATGTTTGCTTCATCTCTCTATAATCTCTTGCTTGAATGCTTCTAAGCCAAGAAGATTGGAACCCAGGTTCCAGAAGTCAATATTCTCAAAAGTTTTGTTGAAAAGCAGACGAGCTGAATTTGTCATACCTTTTCCGAAAATGTGGATTTGCAAGTCTTCGAACGCATCAGCTGAACCGGGCGGGGGGTGGAACGGTGGACAAATTATAAATGAATAATTCAACCTTGCAGTTTTAATAAAAAAACAGGTGGATGATTGGGTAGAAGTTGTACCCTGTAAGCTTATCTCTGCAGTCTTCACAATCAACGACCACAAGCAACACTAAGGAAGCCACTTCCGAAGCATCAAGCAGCCCGAGACGATACTTTCTCCAAACCGTCTTGACACGCATGTTGGAGAGAAGTAGGCGACTTGTAGTCATGACCCTGAGGGCACCTGGCGTCTTAAATTTACACTTGAGTCTTCTTATGATCACTGTTTTAATTTCGACCAAAATATTATCATTTACAAGTCACAACATGCCATATAAAGGGTTAAGTTTCTTCAATCATATGACGGCTGTGAGTTGCGCGTGGTATCGGTAAATGAGACCGGACTGCTTTGTTCATTTTGCCCCACCACGTGTGGAACACGTAGAACATGGAAAAGTGATTCTCGCCTCTGTTGGTATCTCCGCAGATAAACTCCAATGCTACCAGATTGGACAGTAGATAGAATTACCTTGTGAGAGCATTTCCTGATATCATTTTCAAACGCCTACCGTATTCCAGATTTGCACTCTAAGTTGTTTTTCTCGTGAAAGAATAGGGCATACTTTCAGGCGGATAACTCAAACTGTAGGTTTTCTCGAACAGAATTACATTAAGATTAAAAAAATGGTGAGGAATAGACGATTTGAGAAAAAGTAGATAGATAAATCAAGGGTTTATCGGCTTAAGTTCCATTGATGCAGTTCAACGAACCACTTATAATAGATCGCTAAGGAACCTCGGCTGGCACGCCAAGCGGGTTCACTTACCAAACCATCGCTCACGGTTCCGATTTTTAGCCTCTATGAGATAAAGCGTATTTTTGCTAATTCTATTGGCCCAAGCACCTCGAGATTCGTTTCTGGTCCCTACAGCAAACCAAATGCCATTCAGCGGAGGTCAGAAAACTTATCCATGATGGGAGAGAACGACGCGTTTGATAAATTGTGCTAGAAAGACCAGAATTTACTGATAGTTTAGTCCTCAAAATTGATTAGCATTACATGTGATTCACTCACCCATGGCTTCTTTTTATCTTTTCCAGCCTTCACAACCTCTTCTCTTCGCCGTAGAATAAGTACGCCGTTTATTCCACTGGTTCGTGAAATCAGCAAAGGGTACTCGTGGTCTCGAATGATACGACCGGGCGCTAGGCCAACAAAACAAAGTAATTAGACTAAGTGTGCTACTAGGAAGGCAAAAACAGGCCCCGAACAAAGAGCGACCCCTACGTTGGTTTTTCCAGTGTAATAGTTCCTTAGATTGCAGGTTGCACTGGTTTGCCCCTAAAATTGGAAAAATGATTGTAACTGTCCCGGCTCCTATGCAGGGTTGGGACACATTCTACAAAGCCCACAGAAACAGAATTGGATTGGTCAAGAAACACACATATGAAGTGAACTGTATTTTAGAAGACACCCTCCTAAGCATATAGGTCGATTGGGCCAGGGAAGCCATGACATTGCATTCATATGCAATCCAGACACGGATATGTACGGTTACTGTAAACCATTCTCGAGTTTAAACCACTCGATTGTCTTCAGACGTTTGGTAAACTTAGGGTGATTCTTTACGAATTTCGATTAACAACCAACGCGCATTTTGCATCACAGACCAACCCTTGAATTTCGTCTCCGGCGATGTGAACAATTTATACGATATCGCTTTCGGAGTTTTGCGGCAAACCAGTAGACAGTAAAGTAAACCTCATTATCGACTCCCGAACAAAGCAAAAAGAAAAAATCATAAGTGGTAGCCATCCCTATATTAAGGTACTCATTGGTCGTGTAACATACGGTCATCTTTTGGAGACTTTTGAAATATAAGAAAGTGGGTTCCCACAATATCATTTTTACGATCCATTAGGCATTTGAACTTTTAATAGACTAGCTGGATTCACGAGATAGGGGAATGAAACTTGTCTGGAAATCTGTCAGCATTTATGGGCCTTGTCATCGGTATTCACATCCCTATGTTCTAAAGAATCATCCCAGTCTCCCGGAAGGTTATCATGATTGGTCGAAACCATGAGAAAAATTTAATTCCGTTCCTGGTGGTCGTTGGCTTGTTCGCTGAGCTGGGCAATTTGATTGCAAACGTTTCATCACCAATCGAGGTGACATAATCAGTGCGTTTTTGTGGAGAAATACCTGAGCTACCAACATTTTCCTCTATAGAATTCCGTTCCTACCAGCACAGAGCAACAGTCGGTATCCTAGGTTACGATGGGATCAAGACTCCGAATGCGTGCCGTTCTAAGCTGAATAAGGTAGAGAAAAATAGGGCTTCCAACATGGTTGACCGACTGCGAGGTTGTCATCCCCAGAGAAGGGACCAAAGGATAAAAAATATCCCGTGAATCTGGTGTTCCAGTAAGACTTAAAATCAGCAGAAATCCTGCAGACTACGCCTACATGAAGAGCCCGAAAATGAGCAAAACTCATTGTGGAGTCTTCAAGAGCTTCCACCGAACCTAAAAGTAGTGTCCTATCAAAAGTAATTCTGTGCTATTCATTAGCTATCTATTTGCATTCCCTTTGGTTGGTTGTTGCAGCTGAGATGAAAAATCGGCCAGTTTCAGGCTGTCCTTAAAGGTGACATCCCGCTTGTCTGCACAATGGGATCGACGGTGGATAGTGGCTTGGGGGTGGAAGTGGTTGTTTTGAGTGAGTACACTCACTGTGTCAGAGAAACTGATCGTCCAGAAAACGTGTGATCCGAGAACCACCGGTTTCAGGGTGAATCCGGATGAATCCGGAGCAGTAGGATAATGCGTACAGCTAATGTCCCGCTTGTCACCATCAAATCTTCACATTACATGACTAATCAACAGAAACCGATCATTTTATTTCGTTTATTTCATAGGACTCAAGCTGGACCTTGATTCGAGCTAAATATTGACTTTCTCAGGGTCTTTCTTCCTCAAAGAAGCTTGAAGTCACTAATTAGAACTCATGAGTTGTGAAGGATGGTGTCTCTTTAGGGTGGTTTCTCCAGTGGGGGATTTTTAGAACAGGACCTTGGATCTGTGCGTTGCATTTTCATCATAGCTGTTAATGAAGTGCTTTGAAGTACCATAGTGCCAAATACATATGGCGGCTGTGTCTTAGAAAAGCATAAGTTCATACCGATGTGGTTGAACGTAAGGAGTAAAGGCTATGTCAGTCCGTCGTCTGGGAGAGAGTTATCCTGTTACCTTTATGTGACAACTACATTGGCGTGTGTATGTACACACGTATATGCTGTGAGACAAGGTAGGTCAATCACTGATTTGACACTGACATAGATGTCAACTGGATCCAGCAGGTCACACGTGACCTGGGAAACCTACCATCAATGTACTTCATGTGACATGTTCTGAGTTATTTTTTCATATAAAGTTTCAAAAATATCCGTCCATTGTACATGGATTTGGAGTATTAGTGCACATTTACTTTATTTAAAGTGCATGTTGTCTTCATTTTCGAGTTCATTTATCCTCAGGTGCTAGAAAAATTACCACATTCACAGGACATTTAAAAGACGAACGTCAGTTTCAAATGCTTGCGACCAAGTTCGCTGTGAAAGCAGACCACCAGTTCGCAGTTAGAAGATTACTCGAGTGATCCTCAAGACCCAGGTGTGAAATATCAGGGCGCCTGGTTCAGAACATCCTTTCATGCCAGTGTGCGCGGCCTCTACATCATAAGTGAGCGACGCATAATTTAGAGTTTAATATATTGGGTCCATCTTTTCTTCTTGGATTGTGGAACAAGAAACACAATCCGAAACCGACTACAAGCCTGCAAATTGCATGTCAGCCCCACCGTGGCAGACGGACGCACACGTGGTTGTTCGCTTCACTCTTCCCTCAAATACTCTAGTCACTTGTTACCCTAATATAGACTTTCTTCCGTTATGTCTGTGTCTATTTCGCCTTACTGAAATGATGGCACTGCTCTCATCCATGGCTAAAGCCCGTAAATGAACGCAAACCTCATCAGGGTTACTGTTTTCGGCATGCAACAGGGGAAAAAATCGAGAAGGTGCCGCGCATGCTTACTAATGGACGAAGATCCCCAAATCAAATGCTTAAATTTTCCCATTGATAGCTATGATGTACTCAAGGTCGTGAACAAGTCGTCCGGATAGCGAAACACACTCTTTTTCGAATTATTTGGTTTGAATGCGGAACCCAGCTGATCATCACGTTTATGATATCCTTCAACTTTATGAGTAGTACGCTTTGTCAATAAATGCCATTAATTACCCCAAAAATAATCCTCGGCGTAGCAAACACGTGATCATGCAGTCACGCTCTTGAAAATTCAAAGCGGACAGACGCTAGTGGACAATCCTCGGCGTAGCAAACACGTGATCATGTTGCATGCAGTCACGTTCTTGAAAATTCGTAGCATGCAGACGCTAGTGGATCTTCGGGCTTCGTGGAACTTCAGCTTGAGTTTGATGAAGAATAATCACGTTTATTTTGGCGTAGGCACACAAAATGCTCAAACCGGCCATTAATGCCAAAGGATATGGCGTTATTCTACTCTCATTCTTGAGCTCAGCGTTGTCACGAGGAAAATCCCATTATTCGTCTAAGTACCGATATTCATCAAGTTTAGCCAAATTAAATAAGGGCCAAAGAGCCTAAAATCGTGAAGTCATTTGCAAAATAACTTTGATGGAAACTAAGAGCGTGCGTCTACCTAATAGGTTTCAAGAAAGGTGAAGCCAGCGATTGACCGTAAAGGGTCTTCAGCAGCTTTATGAGTATCTTATCGTGCCATAACTGAGGAACATCGTGTTCCTCATCAGCAGTGGACGGCTAACTGTATTATTAAAAACACAGTTCCAGTAGTGTCAGCGGCCTTGCAAATCATCTGCTTTGAAGTTCCACAGAATTCGCAGGAGCTAAGCAAACTTGAGGATGCACTGCTGGACCAAACGTCTAAGTCTCCCGCCAGCATTCTGACTGGTAGACAGACATGCCAAGCCCTCAAACCTCTTGCTGTCTAGCCCCTCGTCCACTACACATTAAATGACGGTTTTCTTTTTTTGGGGTAGTTTGAAGGAATGTTGTAAACCTCAAAGTACATTTCGTGCTGTAATTGAAGTCAATCTATGTTTTAAAGCCGAAATGTGTCGCACAGCCGTTTTATCCTTAGCGGAACTCACCAGCAGAGAACATCGCATAAAACTGAAGGGAGTTTCGAAACAGCCGTCTCACGGCGTGTTGTCTAAACACTTAAACGTTCGGTCAGGGGCGACTAATCATTGCTATGAATAACTGACACTCAACAGATGACGCTACTCAAACTCTCAATTATAATCACCAAATCCCATCACACTAGGCATCATTCAGTGAGTATCTTAGACGAGATGCGTAAAACTTCCATCTGGGAAATCGTCACTTAAGGAGCCAGCCAATGTGATCAAATGATCTGATTGTAGGATGAGTGCCGCTGCCCGGTTGCTGGTCAATCACAGTACTAACTGGCGGCCCGTTGCCAAACAGTTTGATTCTTTTCCCGTTGCATTAATCACACGTCTCTTATGTTACCTGTCTGCATCGAGAACCCTTATGCTTCCTACCACAGTAACGTTGGCTGACTGGTCGCCATTCATCTGTCCGCGGTAGGAGGCTCTACACCTATATGTGCAGTCAATCCTAAGCTCAGATGTCACACCTTAAGTACATTACCTCAGCTACACAGATTGTCCTCTTGAGGAAAAACTCACCGAAGTTTACGAAATGCTATTTCTGAAGTTATTTTGCTACATGTATCCTTTTAGGAAGCTGTAAGTAGTCATCCCGTATTTAAACTTTTAATGACCGAAACAGGGGAGTGCAAATTGTTTACGAAATGCTATTTCTGAAGTTATTTTCCTACATGTATCCTTTTAGGAAGTTGTAAGTAGTCATCCCCTATTTAAACTTTTGATGACCGAAACAGGGGAGTGCAAAGTCAGTGCTGCCCAAGAAGAAAGCAGTCGTCTAGTCCCTAAATTATTGCGATTCCAAACGTTGAGTATTCTACAAAAGCAATGCTAAGGAGAAAAATGCAACCAGCTTTTACGATGGAGAAAAGTAGGCGCTAAGCATTCTGTGGAAGTTAGATGAGACTTATGCGATAGCTGTTGGCATTCAACCTCTTAAACGTCGTGCATATCAATCGATAAATCTAAACCTGTGCACGGCCTCATTTTGGGCTTGTCGAAAGGATCCCACTGTGTATGGTAACGGCCACTTATAAGCGCTCATTGGAATTCTGCTGTTTTATCCCAGTTGAATCTTGTCTCGCCAGACACGATAGAATGTGCGAACTTGACCTTTTAGTTTAACCCATAATCAACTTCTGAAAGACCTGAATCGCTGAATCGAAAAAAGACGGACAATATAATGATGATTATGAAGATTTGGACTATATACGGCGGTCCAAGTCAGCTGAAAAAGCCGGTGCTACCCATTATTCAGCTAGGTCTTAGCAACACTGTCACAGACAGTCACCTGTGGTACTCTAGTAGTCATAGCACTCCGGAATGTCCAGGGTGTTGCTTCAGGTCCTTTCACATTGGTGCACGAAATACACGCAAATAGACTACATCACTGTCCATTAAATCACTAGTCAACATACTATGGTTCAATATGATGCAGCGTATACGAAACAGAGTTGGGATAGCAGTGGGAATAGTGGGCAGTCCTACAACCAAACCAGAGCCTCTCAGTGAGAGGCAACTTGTAGCACTCCAAGGCGGTGAGGAGGACTAAACACTTGATACTTAGCGTATTCGGGTGACGCGTATCTGATGGTGCATTCTAGGTATACACGTGTGGTCAGCTAGTGGCAGCCATCACGTTAGTTGGTCCAGAAATCGATTGTCACCAAAAATCACTCCTGGCACTGTTGTGAGTTTAACGCCTCGGAATATCCGTGAAGTTGGGGGTGGGTGGAGCCAAGCATTTGAAGTTGTTAGTGTCCGGTGAGACAGAAACAAAATGCACTCGCATGGCGTTTTGTGGTTGAATATGATTCAGCTTGATTCTACCCACAAGCTAATTTTTAAAAGTCACTAATAGCACTACCGCAGACTTAGCATACCGGGTTACCCAGTGTAATAAAACACTTTCGTAGTTTTTGGTCTGTAGAACCATTGTTACTGAAAGCTACTTCTAGCGCCACCTCAGGTTTAGCTATGTGAGAACTATAGAAATCTGACGCAGGTCTGTGTTGCTTGCTCTAACCACGGACGTTTTGCCGCGGACAGCTGAACTTGTTGACGAAGGCTGGGTTACCTGAATGATAATTCTAATAACTGACTAAAGTCTTTTATTCATTAGTCTACAGCCAGCGAATGTGGAAACCTCAGAAATCTAATGGGAAAACTTGGGCTCAGTTGAACAGAAATCAGAGGACACTGACCAACCACTGTATGGCCGTAGATGATTATCGAATTAAGGTCAGAAAATTATTTAACCAGAGATTATTTGCTATTTTTCTGGCCCAGTATGATATGAGTGTCGCTGTTCCACATGGCTCTCACCTGTCAGCAGGTCTGTTGCGTATCCCCACTCTTTTTTACTACATGCAGTTATCTCTTGTTAACATATTTGTGAATTTAGACCTTGACTTTCTAGTGAACGACTTCACTAGAAAGTTGTCGATATTCGTGAACAAGTGAGTAGGTGCGGTTTATCATAGCCCTTATTGGCCTACGCCATGCCTTCATCATACTCAGCAATCCTCTCAGAGGATCACTTTATTTGGTTTTTCCTGGGGTTGATCTTTATTGGGGAGAAGGAACTGTGGTTGAATAGGTAGGTTATGAGTAGCTTCGGTGAGAACAGCTACCCTTCCTAGAGGAGTGAGAAAGAAACATTTTGTGGACAAATAAAAACTAACCCTTATCATTTGCTTCCTCCTCCACCAGGCAATAGGCTTGTGGGTCATCTGCAGATCCAACGATTGTCATAACAAGTTTGATTACCTCCTCGGAACTAGTGGTTTTGGATATGTAAAGCTGGCGGATCGAAGGCTAGGAGAAATGGCAAATAGGAGAAATGTAAATGATCGCAGACATTTGAATATTTGTCTCCGTAGATGGGGTTTGTTTCATTCTGAGTATAGTGTGGACCTAACATAGAGGAAAAGGCAAACAAAGGCTCGAATTACCAGCTTCTCCGATGTAGGCGCCTGTCTTTTCATTCAAATTATGTGCACTTGACCTTCATACTGAACGTGTCTCTTAGCGTCTTTTGGAATTTACGAATCGAAACAATCTCAAGTTTCGCAACATGACTCCTTAGGTAAGTCACGTGGGTGATCCCTGTGGCATTCATCGAGACTTCTTTTTATTTCAATACGAACAGTAGACTGTCTTACTTAGCCAGTCGTTTAATATGGTTCTTAGATTTTGATACCCATTGCTTCCGTTTTACCACATTGCCTGCCGCCATATTCTAATGTCCATTTTTGTTGTCTTGGTGGACTTCATCTAACTGGACCACATAATGAAACCGATCGACAAGGAACTAAAGTCCACCGACAAACATGGCCAAGAGCGTGATTTTGTGACAGAGAATTATGTGTTTGAATTCCGCTATTTCCTATGAGATACCTAGGAATATCGGACGCTTTTCTATAAAGTGGAATCGTGTTGATGGTTTTTATCAGTATTCGCTCTTTTTTCACTAAACCACCCTTAGGCATTATTGGGCGGATAACTTGTGGCAATTTGTAAAAAGTGATTGACAGATTCTCATGTTTTCCGGTTTGACTGTTACTCATCCAAGGATAACTGAATATCAAGTGAGGGTACATCAATGCTAAAGTTTGGCAAAGCCAGGATGCCGTTTAGTTTACCTGTATTGAAACGTATATTTCCCGAGCTTAATGATGTGAGAATTTCTCAAGCGTTGCTATGGACGTGTTCAAGCTATTCAAGAGGGATACACGGTTCTTCAAGCTTACCGCTAGAGTTTCACTGCTAGACGGATCTAATGCATCCATATGCCCAGTGGCATAGCAGGTATAGAAGCGCATCTTCATATGGTAGACCCCATAGGGTCATTCATCTGCCCTTTCGCCCGATCCGAAGTTACTTCGGACCTGAGGATCTGGAGGGTCACTTGGGTATCATAGCTACCAGTGCATAACAATGGTTCCCTTAGGCGGGCTTACTCACAAAATGTTCCCCAGAAGCTCAAATCCTGGTTAACGCCAAATGACAGAAAAACAAACAGATATGAATACCACTGCGTTCCTCCGGCACAAGTTTCTTGTACATGGTTTATTTATAGGTGCGCCCTCATTCATAATCCACACGGCACTGCATACTCAGCTCGTGCCGAGCAGCGACTGAACAATCTGTCGCGACTTAGATCAAAATACTTTTTAGGGAATAAAAGCAGCCACCATTAAAAACTCATCAGTAGCTTTTGTTAATACACACTGTTCAGAAGGATACAAACTGATCAGTGGTCCGTGAGCTTAGGTCAATTGTCATGCATGCATTGATCACATTGTAGGATGGAGCCGAATGTGCGGCGAAAAACTGAATTGCACTTACCGGCTTAGAGAAGCAGTTGTCGTAAATGCGTAGCACCCCACCAACTTGCATATGGATGGTCAGTCTATAAAGTAAATCGAAAATGACAAGGTGACAGTGTGCTGTTATTGCTTTGGGCCAACATAAATTTTGTTCGAAATGATCACATAACTAAATCCAGGAGGTAAAGCGCGCGCGATTGTTAGTGGAAGCTGAACTTCAGCAGATGGCAGGAGTGTAAACTCCGCGTCCCGTTTCTTCATATGTAGGTCATGCGGATAGAATGTATCAGCTACACAGAATGACTTACAGACACAGTGGTTCTTCTGTGGGAGTATTCTGACGAGTCTTATGAGAAGTCTTATGATGAGTCTTATGGAACTCACACTGACTGGGACGTTTACTGAATGGAGGAAGGGAGGGGCTCGAGGCAGAGGTTACACGGGCAAACTAATACCCAGAAACGGATGTTTGGTGAACAGAATTTGCTACACCTGGACAATGAGGTCAAGAGTTTCAAAAAATGTGCTTGATAAACAGCGCACGGAGACAGATAGCACCAGCTGAAATCCGACCGAGCGCTCAGGACTAGAGAGCAAAAGCGCTCAAGAGGCCAGGTCTCCTGGCTTCTATTTGGCTGGATGACCCAAAAGGCTGGACTTATGGTAACTGTGGCTGTGTTTGCACTAATGGCGCTGGACATACTGGTTACCAACGAAGACACTGCTAACGGGAACATCGGAATGTAATGTAGGCGTTAGGAGAGAAGTGAATTTCTGTGATCATTGTCTTTCAGACGGTAACAGACTAAACCGTGACCAACCATGGTGCAGCACAGGGGCGTGATACAACTATGACTTCTGAACAGTGTAGTTCACTGACCGACCCAAATCGGCATTATAATATAATAAATGAAAGCCCAAGTTTTTTCAGCTGCCAGAAGACGAATACACTACTGGAAAATTTGTCCCGGCAGTCTGGAAGCACCACACAACTGTCTATCTATCACTTAAGACTAAACTGGATGACTTGTATAAAGCCACAGAGCTGTTGACGACTAAAAAAAATGAAAAACAGCGGGAATGGACGATTTATCGGCAGAATCATTCAAACCGAAGGAGACCGACACTGCGAAACAAAATTCTCAACTTAATATGCACAGTTTGGAAGATAGAAGAAGTTTCGCAAGGATTCACGATTACAACGGTAATCCCTGAGTATGAAAGGAAAGAAAGTCGACAAAAAATGGAAAACTACCTCGATCACTTGCCTAATAACAACACTCAAGACTATGGTTCGTGTCTTCCTTGATCAACTTGCCGCTTGTATCCTGAAAAAAGACATTCCTTGCAAGTAGTGTGCATTTTGTAATAGTCAAAGTATGGATGACTTATTTTGCTCCAAGGCAAATCCAAGAAACCTGTCGTGAACGGAATCCGCAGCCCTATAGTCTGTTCGTTGATTTCACGATGGTCTTCAACTGAATAGAGTAGCACTGTGCATCGTTTCGCGAACGCTTGGCTGTTAGGAAGAATTTTTGACCTTCATTGGGGCCCTTCCGCACTTGGCTAAACACCGAAGCGCAGACCTGCTGAATCACTTCCAACGGCTTCCTAATCGAAACCGAAGTGGACGCATTTCTTGACCTACCTCAATTCTGCTCCTATTTAGCAGCTTTCTGTGAGGAGACATTCTGCTACTGCAATGGCTCTATGACACTTCAACACAGATTGAACGGTTACCTGCACAGTTTGATGCGCAATTTCATTGTCCATATGCCGCTCTCTACAGATAACTGAGTGTTATTATCCCATTCTGAGGTAGAGTTACGGAGGTTGATCCAGCAGTGTTTCACTTCGGCTTAGACACAAATATTTCTAAAACTTTTATCTGTCATCAACTTATATCCGGAATTCAATGTATGACTCCACACACTCTGGTAGATACCATGCTGCACGGAGTTCTGCATTCTTGGTAGCACAACATCCACGGGTGTGACACCTGCAATAAAACAAACGAGCATATTGCAAAGGCCATTTTACGAAGTTCGTCCGGGACAACCGTTCCTGATAAATGGGTACCCAAGTTTGAGTGTATCAGGCGTTGTTTTGTTAAGATTTGAAGTTACTAGCTCTGAGGTCGATGGTTCGAACCCAACCTCAGCATCTCCTCTGCTGTGTCTACGCTTGGGCAGCCTGGCGCTATCCCAGTCCACATGCTTCCTTCAGACAACATGGCAGTTAGGCAGTTAAGACCTTTTTCTGTCTTCCTTACTGTAAGGTAGCGAGACTCGGATGCCTTATAGATCGCACTCACGGGCTTTTAGCCAATTTCATTTGCGATTGTTAAAATAAAGCCTTTCAGAAAGAATGGACCAACACAACCTCGAACACCATTCGAAGGAAAAACACTGTTGGAATTGAACGCATTCTAACGCCACTGATTAGGCCGCATGAGGCGAGTGTCTGAAACTTGCATCTGAAAAATCAAGTTCGAAGTCGTGCAGTCTCGAAATTCTATTACTCGGACAGTCTTCTGAAAGGTTTGAAAGTATGCTACCGATAACATCCGGCACTTGACAGAATAGCACAGCGGACTGTCATAAAATGGGCGTGAGAGGCCTTGAGAAGCGACGACCAAGGCATTCGAATGCAACCTCGTCTGCGTAGATTTGCGCAATACACGGAGGCATGTAAATTAGAAGTATCAGTCTTGAGGGTCACCGGTTGCTCACCGGTCCGGTTGATGAGCATAATCCTCTGGAACCAAAGCTAATTCGTTCTAAAAAGTACGTCCTCTACATTGTCATCCTAAAATTTACAACACTAACCACAGATTTAATGGAATAGCTCCTTGACACTGCGCGTGACGGAGCGTCCTGTCACGCTTGCGGAGCGTTTGCTGTGAAAATTTGAAAGATTGGTGGATGACGCCGGTACACCGATGGGAATAGAGTTATTGATGCCTGTGCTCATTGTCGTGTGATCCTGTTTAGGTGGGATAATGGACGGTCAAAAGCTTCCGCAAGTTCGTCCTCCCTCGTGTGTACTTCGGTGCCAAGAGCTCGCACGTAACACTATAGGGTTGCCTCCGGGTACCCATTCTGCGCAGGTGTTCAGTGCTTTGACCAGTGTTGACCGGCAAACTGGGTTCAGATACGGGCCGTGCATATGCATCACTACACGAAGCGCTCTTTTACCCGGTCGCCTATACAGTATTTTAATATCAAATGGGCGTGGACTAAACACGTTTGATGGTAAGGTCTCAGACACTGAACGCCAACTGGGCAACGCCCACTCACCGAGTTAGTCCAATTTTCGTGTGGTGTGTACCAAATTCTGTAAGTTATTCATGGTTTCTCTGGTCTATAGGACCTATGGCGACCATGGGCTAACAAATCTAGGGTGAATCTGACAGCGATACCGGGACAATCAGAAGATGACATGACGTCTTCGCCGTTGCGTGTGGTCTTCTCTGAAATACACGATTCACCTTTACGATGGTGTGATGCCACGCCAAGCTGTATATCGGTTACACAACTGTACATCAAGTTCTTAGACTACTCACAGTACATGTTTTAACCGACAGGAAAAAAACCAACCAATTACCTGTTATCCAGAGTCAAATCGAGTGTCCGGGACAAGATCGCGTTACTGTACAGTGTAGCTGCTTGACCTATATGTGAGTGAATGAAACAAAATAGGGAAAAACACAAACAAGCCCAAATTTTGAAAAAAAAACGGTTTGTATATGTAGTGCAGGACATTCCATTCAAACATATCTGACTCAGTAAGCTAGATGGAAGACGGTTGTAGCCGAGTGATTAATCGTCATTTCGGAGAAGCTTGGTAAACAATCGGTGGCATGTTTGGCAATTTTCACCCCGTCGACTAGTGGATGTGGTGGGAATATAAATCCTCGCTACCAATGGGAACAGTGGGACTAAATCCGGCATCCAGTGTACGTTTTGCCACTGCCTATTCTTTGATTTTCACCTGATACTCATCCGTGTTCTTTGGTGGTTTGTTTGTGCACCGCCTGTACTCAGCAATTCTGGCGCGCATATCCCTAGTTGACTGATCAATACGCCCCTCCGTACAGTCTTATCAATCTGCAGGCGCTCCTTCAAGTGCACCAAAACTTGGCGTAATGTATTTCCTTTGTAAAACGCTTTTCCGAAGTTAGCTGTATTCATCACCCTTCAGATGACTTTGGGCTTTGCCTTTTGATCCACTCTTTGTTTTTTCTTGGTGCTGAACATCACTCGTAGTTGTTGGTAGTATAAGCATTAGATTATCGGTCTTACGAAATAGCTGGATGAGCAGCTTATAAAAGATGTGGACTCAGCTGTTTGATCATAACCCTTTGAAGTAAGTTTAACGAGTGGAACCACAGTAGCCCACAGAAATTGGGTCACTGATTTCAGAGGTTACATGCGGGGCACGAGGGGTAAAAGCTCTGGTGGTCGGAGAGCTCACCAAGCTTGCCAGAATTTCATCTCTTGAAGTCATATCAGTTGTGATTCGCTGTATATCGGATCGATGTGGTTAACCGGCACATGAGTGTTAGTAGTGGTTAAGGTCTAACTGCGAATGCAATAGACGAACAAATGCGACCAATGCAAGGTGAAACGAAAAACAGTTACTCTCTCTCTCCCCCATAGACTGATAAGCGCTGTACTTGTCTGAAAGTGGAACCTAATGCAACGAGCCATATGATGTCATACATGTTACTACGCAACAAGCCAGTACTCTCATTGAGGGGCCCGTGATTCATTGCTGGTGAAAGAACGATTCCGGTAAACTAGAGGAAAATCAAAATGAGATAACCAGGAGGTTCATGATGAAGATGCCCTAAGGTCTTGAATTCGGTTTCGCCACAACTCTTTGTCGTATTACTTAGCTGAACAAGGATGCAATTGGATGAATTGGTCACGTCTCAATGTGCCAAAAACTTAAGTTAAATTTACCTAGGAGTGGTGTTTTTCGAATGTAATCATCCTATCGAGAGATTTGACTTGAAGATCATTAGGTACCAATGAGGTACTGCAGCTGACGACACCGACCTGGACTTTCCAGACCTAGTGATTTTCCAGGAAACTATAATCTCTCACCGCTGTGGCGTTTACCTTTTTCGATAAAAACCTTCCATATCATCGCTCATCTACACACAAATAGGGATGTAGATATATCTGGCTATTTCCAAACAGGCCTGGGTTCACAAGAGTCAAACACAGAAGGCTTCTTCAGGAAGTAAAACCTATCGAACTTATGGTTGACGTCTTTCTGGCTCTGAAATTAAAACCTTGGTTGGCTGTCTGTTTGGCATTTCTGTAAAGAATTGAAACCTGGTGGCCGAACCCACAATGCTGTATAGTCCGTCACCCGGACAGGTAACAGTGGGGCCGTCAAGGTATCACCGTTACCATCACATCCACTCTCACCATGCGATACGCAGAAAAGTAGTACGCAGGGTGCTTCATAATCCTGCCATGTCCCCAACATATTCGCCTCCCAGGTATGCATCGTTATTCGACTGCAAAACTTATGCGTGAATGAGACTGTCTGGAGCAGATCAAACTTCAAAGTAAGGCTTAAATCGATATCGACAGACGTGATCAATGACCAAGCTATTGAGGAAGACTAACCTGTTGAAACACGAAAATATACCAAGATGACAGAGAAATAAATAACCTTCAAAAAGTTCTCGGAAACGTTTAGGAACAACCGGGACAATCTCCAAAGAGTATTCAAAAGAAACTGTTAGTGGGTGCAAATCAAATTAAGTAATTAGACATCAATTTTACTGTTTAGGAGACATCAAATTTACTATCCGAATTGAGCGTCGGAAGTAAACACTATATGCACGGCGAGCGTGTGACCATGCGACATCGCTTGAGACAAGCTACTGATGAACCAATCAGGATCCCAGCCCGTCACAGTCAGGCGAATTAGAGCAACCGAAACAGGATTCTGAACGGCGTCAAGGATGATGGTTTTTTGCACTGATGAATACCCACTGGTTTTGCAATACCTAACCAAATTCTTTTCTTGATTGTGTTCCGGTGTCAGAAAAATAAGGTGTGGAACACTTGTAGGAAATCGGTTAACAAGCAATGTGGTTGACTCGCTAGCTAGTCTGGATATCATGGGTCAGGCTGGCGATATATGCTACGACACCGCAAACGTTAGATCAAGTTTTTTCACCCTTGTCTGGGAGAGCTCAAACCATTTAGTCCAGTTCTCAACTGGTGTATCTGCTACTCCATGATGATTTGTCAGTTAGTGTGATAATAATAAGTATAATAATAAGTATAATACTGTGTGATGTGGTAGGGTGTTGCGCAGAGTTCTATAGTAAAGCATAATATAATATAGTATACTGTAGCACAGTAGCAAATAGTACAATATAGCAGAAAACTGTGTAGCAAAACTCGAATCGTCGACTGATAACGATCGGGACCACACGGAAAGTGCTACACCAATGAATTTTTCCTTAAATCTCTGTGGACTCACATTTCTCTCCGGGTCTTCTCAACTGAGTTGTACTGTACTGTTGAACTGCTGTTGGTTCATAATTTTGAACCATCTATTAGGTGAAACGCGTATATTCGAGGCCATGCAAAAGACAGTGGAACGTACATGTGGTGGATTCATGAGAAAAGTTAGGTAGAACAAATTCGGATCTTTCAGATTCAAGTGGTTGCGCCGCAGAATTTGTTGAATCAGATCACGTGCAGTGTCATTGGTGCCAACAGGGTAGGGCTGACAGGTTTCTTCCTGTTCAAAGCAATCCCCATAGACAGGGACCTTTAAAAGATGAAGAAAACAAGGATTTCCATATTTTTTCCACATTGGCACCATTTCAAAATGAATGTTATGATTAGTACAGTCAGGCGACATCAAATGGGCTAGCACTGAACTTGACTGTTGTTCAAGTCAGAAATCCACTTGTTCACTATTAGAAGGCAACTCAGCAAGATTGCATACGGTACTTAGAATACTGAGGAAGCGCATCATGCGCGTCCGTAAGCAATGAAGTAATTGCAACCAAAAGCCTGCAACATAGTTCGTTTATCCTGGTCCAGCGACTAAAGGAAATGAGATTAGAGAAGAGATTAGCCTTGACCATCTGGTTCCCTTCGTGTTGTCAGAATATCAGAAAGGAACGTGGTCACTTTCAAAATCATACTCAGGGTTGACATAGTCTTGAAGAGCCATCAACCTCCGTAGCTCACGGTCGAACACAAGTTGAAGGTCTGCCATAGTACCACATCATTGAAGTAACCACCAGTCAGACGGTGAGCAGATTTCGAACTCGAGCAATACATTCGTGCGCAAATCAATTTGGTTTTTACGGGAGACTCAAATGAATCTCTTGTTTATGATGTTCTTCAACCGAGTAGTTTTCTTTATGAAAATATGTTGCGATATCTCAAATATTGTACCAACTGGAACATAAGTCGGCCTGCGTGCAGCACATTCATTTGTAGAATATCATAGACAAGAGATTCAGTTGAGTCTTTTGTGAAAACCGAATTGGTTTGGAAATGAGTGTAGTTCGCGAAAACGGTACAATTTGGGTTCAAGTAGAACATAAGGTTGACGGAAACTTGGAGACTGCGCCTACCTGATGAGCCCCAAGAAGTGCGAAACTAGTCATGGGCTGTCGAAGAGTTTTCAGAAACCTTGTGAGTAGTTTCCTGTTTGTAGATTTCGATGTTTCTCAGGTACGCCTCCCATTTAGAATACAGGTGTTAGTGAGTAGCAAGTATAATTACAGGTTGAGCAATACGATGTTTCAGTCATCTGCTTCAAATATCGTGAAACACAGCTTGACATAACATGATTGCGAGTCAGCGAAATACACTCATTTGCCTACTTGATGATCCCCAAGAAGTGCGAAACAGATCATGGGCTGTTAAAGAATTTTCAGTAGCTTTATGAGTAGCGTATTACGTCTACAATTATGAGTCCGCTTTACTGCATTATATTTTCCACTTCCTTTGGAAACTTCAAATGCAGTTTCCCAAATTTAAGAAATGCTGAGTGATCGTTGTTGGAAACATAGTACCTAAATTTGCTGACAGAAATACGAATAATTTTTGGTTTCATTCGTTGGATTATGACGAGACCATGTCAGTCTAATTTCGTGAATTAGGAGGTAATGGGCCTGGATCTAAGGTGTTATGAGAACCGACCTTGACCGAAGAGTTGGAGATGCGATTTCGGCTGACTGACTGGACAATTTTCCATCCTACAGCAGTGTTTTGAATTATCTGTGTGTCAGCATGGTATTCAAACAGGACCTTTTGGTGGATCGTATCGGAGATATAGAAATAAATGTAATCGCGACTGAACAGACGCCAGCAGGCTTCTTGCATTTGGTAGGAGGACTACACAGGGGGTATTCAAAACTTTTGAGTAGATGCGCGAAAATAATACCTATCAACACGCTTGTCTTTTATACTCAAGGTTATTTCAAATCATATGACTGCGCACTGAATATAGCTAGGTTGGTATAAAAGATTTACTCTGTTTTACTCCGAAATCGCTACATCACAAATGAAGGTGAGTTAATGGTGAACTTGTGTAAGAATTGTCTTTTACAGGCAGCTCAAGATGGATTCCCATGAAAACCGGATGAGGAGATTCCGCTGTCCTAGGTATGACCATTAATGGTGATGTTCCGGAAAACAGGTAGCTCAGGTGAATTGCTTGGTTGTTGATCTGTTCTCCGACCTTGGCAAGCGTTTCATCACCAATCGAAATGACATCTATGGGGACAAAACTCTGCTTGTTAATCCCATCTTTACACTCGATTCAGCACTGCTACCACACTTCTCAGTAAACTCAAATAGCTTCTGAACAGACTACTATCGACTCTGCTGGGTTCTCATCTTCCTATTCCCTACTTGAACACCAAAGTGAACGTGTTTAGGGAAAACACTTATTT